TACAAAACTTTGCAGAACACAACAATGTTTTTTATTGAATCAATTGATATACAGAATGTCAAGAATTTTTTAGACGTCATATTCAACGGCCCTTAAAAGTGGGTAATAGGGCACTGGTGGGGTCTAAAACGAATTGTATTTGGACGATTACCGTATGAACTGGTACTCCTGAAAATTTAAGCGTTGGGTATCGAGGTTTGGGCTGTATATCACATTGATGTCGAATAAGACTTTGATATGTTCAGCAAAGTTGTGTATTTCATGATGCCAAAAATTTCTTAGAACATGGTGAGTTTATCAAATAAAAAAACACAAATTAGCTTAAAAATCCAATATTAAGATAGTCCTTAAAGAAAATCAAATATATCTCCTAGAGTTAAGATGTAGGAACTTGATGCCTTCAGAAAATGTCCATAAAATCAACTGCTCTGCAACTTTATCGAAGACATGGACCCGTTAGCTCGTAACTGAAAAAGTTAGAATTTGCATGTGTAATTATTGTAATACTACATTAATGATTATTCAGGTGTGTACCACTGTGCGACGCCTTACCTATCGATCCATAAACTCGTGGACCGGGAAACAACTGTTTTACTTCTCCGAAGGAAGGCGTGATCGATCAGAGATTGTATGCCTCAGAAAATCCCGACGGCGCCCACTGGTTTTGAACCCAGGCTCTTTGGGGTTAGAGGCAATCACGTTAACCACTACACCACCGGTGCCGCTAACACTAAGCGATAAGCTTGAAATGCGAAGAAGAAGAAATAAGAAGAAAAAGAATACGCAACACACATCCTGCCCACACGACAGCTTACTACAACCCTCTTGTTTCTATTGATGCCGTAAGGTACTTTAACAAGTTTGTTGAGCAGTTCCACGCAGACTCGCAAATCGTTTCGGATCGATGTTCTTAGAATGACTTTGTAATATTACACAGTTGTTTGTTACTGGCCAAAATATCATTATACACATTTGTTTCCATGACATGCATAAATAAAAAATACATATCTCCAGAACAAATTGGTTTGATCGAGATGGTGTACTCGACAAAGTTACATAGTATTATAATGCCTTTAGAAAAAAATATACACCGAAAAAAAATTGTGTATTTTGGTAGAAAAATTGAAATTTAAATAATCACTTAAAAAATCTCAAATTGTATTTAAAATAATTTTTTTTTATAAAAATAAAGCTCATATAACGTGTAAACTACTGACAATATGTTAAAGTTGGACGAAAAAGTTATGGTATTTTAAAAACAGTAGCATTTTTGAAAATAGAGCTATGTCCATTTAGAATCTGGAATAATAAAATCATCTGTATCTCGGTAATGGATTGACGTACAAATAAGGTTAATACATCAAAACAAAGGTAATTCACTGTACTTTTAAAAATATCAATACAAATCATTTCTCTTCGTTTCTAATGAAAATTCGTACTTTCTTCTTTATTCCTCCCATCAAACGCTGCACACCTCCGGAGTCAACTTCCTTGGCACATTTGTTCCACATTTTGGTCATCTGAATCGCGTCCCGAGCCGTCTTTCCACTTTTCTTAAGCTTCCGCTTCATTATTGCCCAAAATCTCTCGATGGGTCGGAACTGCGGGCAGCTGGGTGGATTTTTGTTTTTATCGATGAAATCTACGTTATTATCGCGGTACCACTGGATGACTTCCCGGCTGTAGTGGTAACTCGCCAAATCTGGCCAAAACTTCACGGGACCTTTATGGGTTTTAATGAAAGGTAGTACGTGGTTTTTGAGTCATTCTTCCTTGTATAGCATCGAGTTCATCGTCTTATTCGTCACGAACACTTTGGTCTTTGCTCCGCAGCTGCATATCCCTTGCCAAATCATCAGTTTTTTGACAAATTGGTCCATAAAAGCAAACTTAAACTTCGCAGGAACATCTCCTCGTTCTGTCGTCATGTAGAATTTTCGGCCAGGAAGCTGTCCGAAATCCATTTTGACGTAGGTTTCATCGTCGATGAGCAGGCATCCTTGGTACTTCGTCAAAACCTGCTGGTAAAATTTCCGAGCTTGAGTTTTGGTGACGAAACTTTGCTTCAACGTTCTGTTTGGTTGCTTACTGGCTCGATAAGAATGATATCCTGCTTGCAAACGAATTCTTCGAACGGTACTGCGAGCAGCAGCGTATTTTTGTGCGATTTCATTATCTTCATTATCCAGGGTTTGCTCTGACGGTTCTCAACACCTTCTGGTTCAGCTTGCGGTCATATGTTCCACTACGACGCTTACCTTGATGCACTCGATCCACGCTCTTTCGCTCCCTGAAACGTTTGAGCACATCATACACTTTGGCAATTTTCAACGTTTTTGCAGAATTTTTTCTCTCCTCTAGGCTTCCATCTGGAATAATTTTTGACTCACTGCACGAAACACCGTGAAATTTATACCACAGAAAGTGGGCGCCTAGGTAAACAAACAGCTGTTAAACAATTCAACACTTTCCGTGCCGCTGCAACACAATAAGTGATTCCGGATTCTAACTGGACAGAACTTTACTACCTATAGGTTTGTCTGTGCTATTGGTATCAATTATCGTTGAAGTAGTGTAAATATTAAAAACATTTAATTTAAAACAAAAACGTTTAGATTTCTTAAATCACCCGTTGTTATTATTTTCGAGAATTTCGTTTCTTAAAATTTACGAAATTTACGCCCTTTTGAAATATAATTCGTGAGTGTCCAATCTTGAAAATATTTAAAAAAAAGGCACAAATATTTTCCTTAAACCTTACAGTTCATAGATTTTGAATCAGGTTCGCGAGTTTTGAGAAAATAAACGTTGAAAGCTAAGTTACTGGGTGTTTGCTACCTAAATATGCAAGCTTCTATCTAATTCTACGTTCATACTTAGCCGCTTGTAGAGAATATTTGTTTCGGTAACAAAAACCCATACTTAAAAAGCTGCACCAAGAAAATACACAATTATATTTTTCAGTGCATATTTTTTCCTATAAAGGCACAATACTGTTCCACAGTTTCGTCAAAGACACCATTTCGATCAAACAAATCGTTCTCGAAAGAGGTATTTTTGAATTTTAGTTTTTAACTAGTTCGTTTATTTAATAGGCTCAGTCGTGTGTGACACTTTGCGGAGCCAAAAATCCATAATTTTTTAATTAACATTTTAAACAATAGTAATCTAGGTTAGTACCCGAGCAAAGTCCAGCATCAAAATGACAGCAAATTGAAATCAAGTTTTGATATCAACATCAAACTGAAATCCTAATTTGATTTCAGTTTACGCAATTGACAAATTTTGTTTCGTCAATTTGCTGTACATTTGCTCTTAAAAAATATGTTGTTGCGGGTTTGTTTTCATTGCCTTAGCATAACATCAAATTGAATACTTGTTTTGTTATCAACAGGAAAAATTGATAACAAATTGAGTTTTCAGTTTGCTCTCACTGATAGCAGAAAAAGTTTTCAATGTGATGTCACAGGAAGATTTTTTTGCTCTCAATTTTGATATTTTAACCATTAAAACGACCAAAACGACAGCAACCTGAGTAATCATTATCAACGAAATCACAGTATCAAATTTAGATTTTAATTTGATCTCAGACTTTGCTCGGGTATTGGGTACCAATTACTCGTGGCGGACTCGAGGTTAATGGGTAACAATTTCTATTGGAAGGAGCTAGGTAGGAAACAGGTTACTGAAGCCTCCATCAGATACTAAATACTCTCGAACGGTTGATCAAATGCTGGCTGGGCAGGGGCAAAGGTATTTTTTAATTAATGGTTATCATAGTTGCATAAGCCCGTTTAAAAAGTTTGTCGCGTGCAATACTAAGGAACCAATTGTGTAAAGTTGCATATTGAGGAATAACAAACAACTTTGCAAAATATCAACTTAATCGGTAAGGGTCGGTTAAAAAAATCGTCAATCGAAATGGAACCGCTCAAATAAAAAAAAAAAAAATTACTATTTATTGCACTAGCAAACTTGGGGCCCATTCAAATATTATGTAATGCAAGAGGGGTTGGGAGTACTCCGGCAGTGCCTTAAACCGAAGACAACCAATCAAGAAGACTGGCAACTCTTCCATTTTCTCATACGAACGCTATGAGTCAGGTACAATCGCGTCATCTGCCGCTCAAAGGTAAATGCTTCGAACGAATTTGATAGCAAAGATTACATCCTCAGAGGAAAGGTTTGTGTATTTGCTCATTTTTCTATGCGTTGCTTCCACCTTCACTCAAGCGCAGCGCTATTGTATCTGTCGCTTGGATTCTGGCAAAGTTGCCAGTCTTCTTGATATGATGTCTTCGCTTAAACGCTATGTATTAGGTGGAAGTGCACGACGAGGGGGTGGGTATTAGAAAATCCACTTTTTAGCGTTACATAATATTTGAAAAAGGTACAAAAATGAGGATACATGGCATCGCTGGCGCAGAGTGCGTGACCTCGAGCTGTTGTGTGTTCCATTGTGTTCGTTCCACATCGCTCGTCGCTCGGTTGGGTGAGTGAAGTACATAGATACTTGATATTATATACAGAGAGCGTGTATGGTGCAAGGCAAAAGGGAGACGCTGAGATACTTGCTCAGACAAGAGCATCTTCATGCATATATAAAAGTGCTCAAATGCTCCACAAAAATATTATGTTGTAAGAAAAAAGCTTGAATTGTGTGTCCCAAAATATACTTTAATTTTCAAATATCAGCATATGTCTTCAAAAGTCTTCACATAACATTAAATGTCTTCAAAATGTCTTCGAAAACAAAATGTTTTCACAAATATTCAAATGTCTTCAAATCTGGCATCCCTGGGTGACAATTTGAAGTCATGGAACTTAGATTACGATTATCCAGGGAACGGGTTCCAACTCGGCTACCCCTTTATAAAGATGAGTTTAAAATCTCATGATTTGCCTTGAAACATTATTTAAGCCTGGACTAAAACTCATCAATTACATCAAAAACATGAGAACCTCGTTGGTTTTAGACGCTGAAGTGATATGATTCTAGCCTGAATAAAAGCATGTTTGCGATGGATGTCAAACTTCATGATGTTTGAAAATTTATCCATAAGATATTGAAATAGGCAACGATAACCAATCGGATGTGGAAAATTTTAGTTTTCCACCAACATTGTATAGTATAAAAAGGCAGGAAGTTCATTCCAGCAGTCAATCCATTCCAACCTACCAACGAATTCATTATTATCATAAGAGCATAATTAACTCGAGCAAAAACATTATTCCCCGCTCCGGTACGATAGGAATCCATCTGAACAATTATTTCAAAATGATGTTGGAATTTTCCGGAAACTACGAAGGCAATCATCCCCTCCGTCATCATCATCATCATCATCATCATCATCATCGCCATCAACGTCACCGCATTTACACTCTCTTGCCAGTTGACTGACTGAATGACTGACTGACTGGCTGACTGGCAGGAGTGGTGGTCTGAGTTGGCAGAAGTAGGTAAATGGTTTTCGTACAATTTCATCAAGAAGAAAGCATTTTTACGGTCCATTTGTGTGGCGAGATGTTTCTTTGGGTGGTACCGCCTCCGTTTTGACGTGGGGAATTTGTGGCAATTGTAGGGAGATTTCCGTTTCCATGATTGCCGGTGGTTAGTTTCACAGTTTCTGCGTAGGACTGTTAATTACTTTACTTTCTACTGAAAGGAAGCAATTCCAAATTTTGGGAAAGGACAAATGCGCTCAATTTGCAAATTAGTGGATATTTGGTTCTGGTGGCTTATGGTTAAAATCCGTATTAGAGGTAAGATTAGAGCTTTGATTTGCTTTTAGCTAATTCGCGGAGAGCTCGCCGCAAAATTTTTCCGCTAGCTGTTTTGGGGATTTCCTTGATGAATCGAACACCTCCGTGAAGTCGCTTCTGTACCGATACTTGTTCGTTCATGAACTTGATGATCTCCTGTTCGCTGACTTGTGCTTCATCGGCAGGCACTACGAAAGCCATGGCCAATTCTCCAACCTTCTCCTCCGGTATACCGATTACGGCTGCATCCTTCACTTTCGGGTGTGACAGCAAAACTGCTTCCAACTCGGCTGGTGGAACCTGGAATGCTTTGTACTTGATCAGCTCCTTCAGTCTATCAACGATGAAAAAGTCCCGTTCATTGTCGTAATATCCAATGTCTCCGGTTCGCAGCCACCCGTCTCGGTCGATGGCTTCTTCTAGGCCAATGTAACCCTTCATGATCAAGGTGCCTTTGAAGCAGAGTTCACCATTCTGGTATGGTCCCATAGTGCGGCCCGTATCCGTATCGATCACCTTGGCCCACTGTCCTTCGCGGAGCTTACCAACGCTTCCTGGTTTGTTTTCAGCGTCAATTTGGGCCAAGATTGCCAATGTAGTTTCACTCATGCCATAAGCCTGGCGAATCGATGAAACCTTCAAACGTGATCGAATTAAGTTTTCAACCTCTCGACTCAGGGGAGCTGCTCCGCTGATGATGGTTTTGACGGAGGACAGATCGTACTCGTCTACCATGGGGTTTTTGGCTAGAAAAACGGCGATTGGTGGAACCATGTTTAACGTGTTGGGCCGGTACTGTTCGATGCAGGCTAAGTAGGTTCGTTGAATGAACTTGGTCAAGAATACCAGTCGCATTCCGTTGAGTATGCAGTTCATCATAGTGACTCCGCCAGCAACGTGAAACCATGGTAGGATGTCCACTGCAACCAATTCCTCTTGACCGGCTCCGATTTTCTCCAAGAGTGTTCTGAAATAGTCCACAAATCAGATTATGCTCGAATTCAAATTTCGCATACTTACTCCATGAAGTAGCATGTAGTGAAAATGTTACGTTGCGTAATCTGCACACCCTTCGGAAGTCCTGTTGTCCCAGAAGACATAACGATCAGCGCTACATGTTCTTCCACGTTCAATGGTTCAGGAACAAATGTACCCAGCTTGAAACGACGATTGGAGTTTTCCAAGCATTCCTGCCAGGTTCGCCCTTTAGGGCCGTTATCAAAATGTACAAATTTGACCGGTCTCCGAACTCGGATGCATGCCTTCTGTACCGTAAGATTAGCATGCGCCGAAACAAAGATGACTTTCGGTTTCGCCAATCTGATAGCATGCTCCATCTCACCTATCAAAAGATTAGAACAAGCAAAACTAAGTTCATCTCCTCCTATTATCGTGACAGATAGATAAGATAATAAAACGTACGTTCCGTATAGCCTGGATTGAATAATGCTGCAGCTGCTCCCAAGAAATGCGCAGCATAGACCGCAATCGGATATTCAAACCGATTTTCGCTAACTACCGCAACGACATCATTCTTGGTGACTCCCAGCTCATCCAGGTAGCCTGCAATGGCCAACGATTGCTCCAGAATGCCTCCATTGCTCAGTTGTAGCGAGGTGACCCCGTTGACGAGCGCTATCTTGCCGGGGTCTCGAGATAGTTCCTGAATGATCAGCTCTCCCAGCGAATGACATCCGCGATTAAAGCTGGCTGGAAGTGGTCCACCGTAGATCACATTTGGATCGTTCGAATTATCAATACTGGCACTGGAAGCCATCACATAACAACTGAAAACTGTTCCTCTGCGAGTGCAATGAGAGACTAAAGTAGGTGCTGGCTGTGGATGATAAGATGCGGCTTTATAATAGGTTGATTGAACTAGCGAGTCCAAGTGAGAGATAAACTGGTTTTTAAATAGATGTTTGCGTGTTCTCTTTCTCATTTCTTCATTGGGGTAATGTCGCTCAAAGTGACTGGCAAGTCGGTGAGTGGATGTAGTTGTCTACCTATATATTTGATGCAATTCATTTGGATTTTGGTACGGTGACTAAACGTTGGTATATCTTTATGAAATTACTACTGATTAAAGCGATTGTAATACTGCTATGAACTGAACTTCTTAAAATTCATCTTCAGACTTTCTGATGCTTTGGCATCAACGTAACTATCTCCACATAATTATTTTAAAATGAAGTTTACTTCGAAAAAGAGTTGATTTGCACTACTTTAAATACGATAACATTCAAAAGCTGTAGCTTTTATTCCTGGGAATGAACCCACATATTAAGTTACATATTAAAACGCATTGTTGGTTGGTATCGGACCATGATTAATTTATCTTTTTAACTATTCAATTGAAATTTGAATTCAATTCCCAGTGATTGGTTTAACCTTCACTCCAAGCCACATCAAACGGAAATGTATCAGGAGGGGGTCCTAGATTTTGAAACAATGCGTGTAATAATTATGGGCAAAAGCGTAACACAGAGAGGTGGTGGAGGTGTGGTAATAATAATAAAAAAAGCTTGTGGATGTCATATTTCAATTGCCCCTTGGTGTTTTGTTATTAATGGCGTAGCCACACGTGCGGTATATACACTGTTGTTGACTAGTAAACCAATTAGACCGGACTTCATTGGCAGAGCCAAATCAATATTTACTTTTCAATTCGGCCACGTTGGATGTATCGACTTGTTGGTTCACTTGTTTTCATTGGCCTCACTCGAGGCACATTCTGTTAAAATCGACCAAATATTGAGACTCAACATTCTGAGGCAGAACGTTCCGTCGCCATGAATTTTTTAGTTTGATGAGCACGGAGAACTTGCAGAAGCATTTCCCATCTTGCCGCAATGTCTCATCCATCACGAATGGAGTTAAGAGTTTGTACGAGCTGTTGAAGCAATTTTCAACCTTTATCAGGACGACGGACGATGTGATGACAATTTTCCGATCGAACGTGACTTCCTAATGTGGAAGAAGAAAAAAAAGTTCCATTATTTTTGTCTACATTGGAGGTGATTTGCGTCGACACATTTCACTTCTCACCGGAGGTTGTCCAAACGTTTTCCACAAAATTCACGTTTTATCGACGGGACGTGATACGGCGGTGATGGATTTGCGGTTCCGCCGACGAAACCGTATGCTCAATCGACCGAGCGTGATCGGAACTGTGCACCGCAGCATCATGTGAGTGGATTTTTTTACCCGATTTATTATTGATTTTCCTCTTTATGGTAGAAAAAAAACTAGTGGATAAGTAATTGCACGGAGATCAATGTACCTTTTGCGTAGAAAAATCTGAATGAATGATTTCAGAATGCATAATGCCCATGTCCATGAACTAAAATCAGATCAATGGTCATTAGACCGTTAAGAGAGCAATATTGCATGATGGTCGTATTGATATTCGAATTCCAAAATATAAACTTGAATTTATCCACCTATTGTGAGATCTGACCATTCTTACTGATTCAAATGACGGAAAAATTGATTAACTGTTAGAAGAACTGACTGTTCATTAGCATCATGTAGCAACTCGAACCGATCACGCGATGCACATTTTCAAAATCATCTTCACGATTCCTCTAATATCTTCTTAAATTGTCGCTAATATCTACTTCTTTTTACTACTTTGACACAATTAAGGTGAAAGTTGATGGAATCCACAAACGGCCGCCCATATGATTATTTTGCCTTGCCACTTTTAATTTTTGATGGCACGAATCTCATCGAAACTATAAAGAGTGATTATAATTTCACACACAAAATCTTTATAACGTGAAGGCGGGTAATTTCGTGCCTCTAACGCGAGGGTAAACTCGTACTCGTTGTAGAATTTTTGGAAAAGGTTTAATTAAAAAAAATATGAAATTCATGAAACTCCTGATCATAACGTTATCAGCTGCCTTGAAAAAAGTGCTGTCAATGTGGGTGGGTGTCGACTACCTAAGATCCATAGGCCAACATTAGAGCCATTTCCTCTATCAGGGCATTCAGGGACCAGGAAAATTAGGGAATCTTTACTTTTCCTGGTCCGACGTCCCTCAGGATTACACCTGCGTCACAATGTTACGCCAACTAACTCGGTTCGAGGCTGCTTGTCTCCAATTTCTTGACCGTCCCACACTTCCTAGATCTTGCTTCACTTGGTCTAATCACCTTGCTCGCTGTGCTCCCCTGCGTCTTGCACCGGCCGGATTCGAGGCAAACACCATTTTTGCGGGATTATTGTCTGGAATTCTAACAACGTGTCCCGCCCATCGTTCCCGTCCAGCTTTCGCGACTTTCTGGATACTGGGTTCGCCATAGAGTTGCGCTAGCTCGTGCTTCATCCTTCTTCTCCATACACCGTTGTCACATACCCCACCAAAGATGGTCCTAAGCACTCGTCGTTCGAAAACACCCAGTCGTCCACCCCGTAGAGAACTACCGGTTTTATCAGCGTCTTGTACATGGTAAATTTAGTACGGGGGTGAAGTTTACCCGACCTCAGGGTCTTGTGGAGTCCGTAGTAAGCACGAATTCCGGCAATTATGCGTGTACGAATTTCTCTGCTGCAGTTGTTATCCGAAGTCACCAATGATCCGAGGTACACAAATTCATCTACCATCTCGAACTCATCTCCGTCGATTGTCACGCTTCCCGAGCAAAGCCTGAGATCAAATTGAAATCTAAATTTGATGTTGTGATTTCGCTGATAACGATTACTCAGGTTGCTGTCGTTTTGGTCGTTTTAACGGTTAAAATATCAAAATTGAGAGCAAAAAAATCTTCCTGTGATATCACATTGAAAACTACTTCTGCTATTAGAGAGAGCAAACTGAAAACTCAATTTGATATCAATTTTTCCTGTTGATAACAAAACAAGTAATAAATTTGATGTTATGCTAAGGCAATGAAAACAAACCCGTAACAACATATTTTTGTAGAGCAAATGTACAGCAAAATGAAAACGAAATTTATGAATTGCATAAACTGAAATCAAATTAGGATTTCAGTTTGATGTTGATATCAAAACTTGATTCCAATTTGCTGTAATTTTGATGCTGGACTTTGCTCGGGTTCTGCCTATGCGACCCTTGTCGCGGTCAGTTCCTCCAGCTAACAGATTCTTTGTCTTCGACGTATTCACCTTTAATACAACCTTCTCTACTCAACGTTTCAGCCTGGTGTATTGCTCCGCCACGGCCCGAAACGTTCTTCCGACAATGACGTCGTCAGCGAAGCAGATGAACTGGCTGAAATTTTTGAAGATCGTGCCCCGCATGTTAAAGCCCGCACGTTTCATAACACCTTCTAGCGCCATGTTGAACAGAAGGCAGGAAAGACCCTCGCCTTTTTTTTTTTTTTTTTTTTTAATTATTAATTTATTTGATTAGGCTCAACCGAATTAACTTTCCAGAACCGAGTATTCTTGTTCACTATACAATACATCTTAAAAGTTTGGCCATGTTGATTCTGCAAGAACGTTTTTCACAGATGGATCTCTAATAGAGGAGTCCGCTGGTTTTGGTGTATTTAATGAATTTCATAGCGCCTCTCGAAAACTTGAAGCTCCTTGTTCTGTGTATGTGGCTGAACTGGCAGCAATTCACTACACTTTGGAAACTATTGCTTCACTTCTTCCAGACCACTACTTTATTTTTACGGATAGTCTCAGTTCTGTCGAGGCTATCCGTTCCATTAGGCCGGTAAAGCACTTCTCGTATTTTCTCTTGAAAATACGAGAACTGCTTAGTACTTTATCCGTGCGCTCTTTCATCATCACCTTCGCGTGGGTCCCTTCGCATTGCTCAATTTTGGGCAATGAGAAGGCGGATTCACTTGCGAAGGTGGGCGCTATGGAAGGCGACATTTATGATCGACAAATCGCCTATAGTGAATTTTTCTCTATTTATCGTCAGCAGTCGCTCGTTAGCTGGCAACATCAATGGAGTGAAGGGAGCTTGGGACGATGGCTACATTCAATTATCCCTAAGGTGTCGAAGTTTGCATGGTTCAAAGGGTTGGACTTGAGTCGAGACTTCATACGCGTGATGTCTCGTCTCATGTCCAATCACTATTGTCTAAACGCTCACTTGTTCCGTGTGGGGTTGGGAGACAGCAATCTCTGTGAATGTGGACAAGGTTACCAGGACGCTGATCACATCCTTTGGTCTTGTGCGGAGTATCGTGGAGTCAGATCACATTTTTATGATTCCCTTCGGGCTCGAGGTAGACAACCTAATGTTCCAGTTCGGGATATTTTGGCTAGACGCGATCTGGAGTTTATGAAACTCATATATGTTTACTTTAAGGATATTAACCTTAGATTGTAAGTTTGATTAACCTTGTGTTTAGTTTGTATTTTGTACGTGTGGGTTTTTTTTTCAATGTTTGTTTTCAAGGTGAATAGAAATAATTTCATGCTTTAGGATTAATTAAATAGTTGTATCGTAAACCACATTTCAAACCTCCTTCTTCCCTTTTCCCATCCAAAAAATTGTAAATCTCCACTAACCTCGAGACAACCGCGAGTACTCGGTCCAGTTCCTTTAACTTTAAATTTAAGACAGTAATAATGAATAACGCAAAGAATAACTCGGCTCTGTAAAGTTTATTCGATTGAGCCTGTACATCACAATAAACATTTTATCTTCCGCTATCCAATAAGCCTCCTCTACCAGAACGGGAGCCGCTTCCAGTGATTTGATTATATGGCAGTTACGCCAACGAGGGACAGAGCGCTTCCATTGCAGCAATGGACGCAAAACGTGGTCAGCACTCACACTCACATCACAAAACGGTTGCTTTCCAAAGTCGACGACGCATCGACCGAAAGAACTGCTGATGAAGAACAATGAGG